GTTTAGAAGAAATTTACTTGCTTAAGTATCTAGAAAAGAATTATAATTTGAAGACAAATAATTTTCGTTTCATTTTCGAAAGTTCTTCATACGACCAATAAAATAATGAAACGAGATGACGAAACAGCGAAAAGAGTAAAAGAAAAGACGATTCTCATTTTGTATAAGAAATTTTAGTTTTGTGACTGACGAAATTGTGAATTACGAGTTTTTCTTAATGCTGTAGTTTCTTACTATTTACAAGATAATTATATAAAAGAAAGCGGAAAACACTAATGAAAAATGGAAGTTGACAAACTATCAGAAATCAATTGAAAATCTCAAAACTCAGTAGAACTGACAACCCTGTTTTCGACCCTCTGTGCACCCATGATAGAGATGACCATTGAAAGTTTCTAGAACAGAAGTTATAAACAAAATATTGTACGTGACGGCATATCAAGTGTGATGAACAAAAAGTTAGCATTTATTCCGTTTTTTTCTACTTTTTCGCTGGAACTTTCAGCAAAAAATATTTATTCTATTTTAAACATTTCAAATGTTTCGAAATAGAATAGATACGACTTTTGTATTGATATTAATCAATAAAACATGAGAAAGTCCAGTGGGTTGATTCTTGATCTCATGCGTTCCGTTCTTTAAAGAAAATCACGAAATGTTTCTATCCCAGAGATTATCGATTAGATAAGATTAATATCTTTATCATACAGATTCTAAGTGTCTTCTAGGAAATGATATAAAAACTGATAAAACAAATTTCCATAAGAAAATATCGGTCCGATAAATAGTGTATGTCTCTATTCAACTGATCAAGCGATTAAGAAGCGAAAGTTGATTAACTATTTTTTGAAAGGAACAGCATCTAACCTGTTTTTTCCGGTTCCGTATGTGCCATCATCATTATTACATCTTCTTCAATTTTATTTTTATAAACATTTATTGTATAAATACGATCACCAACATGAAGATCTTCAATTTGTTTATGTTGACCATTTATTAACGTTACATGGTCGTTACCATTGAAACATGCTGCAAAAAGATATGACAAGAAACCATCTGGTTCTTCGGTGATAATCTTAGGACCTTACCATAAACACAGCCAACTACTTTATCATAAGGGCCTCCATAGATGTCACCAAAATTACCAAGATAATTAGGTTCACATACACAAGCATAGTTAACGCATACAGCATGTGGACCACATAAGCCTGGATACGCTGTGCAGTCTACACAAATACAAAAACAAATATGAGCAAAACTCGACAGGATCTCCTTGTAGAATAGAGGTTATTTTTATTAAATAATGTTCCGTGCTTACTTGTGCATGTTGCACAGAATTTTTGTCGACATGGATTCCCATGAACACTTGAACATAGAAAATATAATTCGATAATAGTAATACTAATAACCAGCAAATTCATCTTCTGAGCCATAAACTTAAAATTTTCTGTGAATTACACGCTAGAAATAATTTCGTCTGTTCTTTCGTATCGCCAACATTGTTTTAATACATTCCGTGATTCTTGACACAGGTTTAAAAATGATACGTAAAAGATATCCGAAAACAACATGTGTGTCTTTTGATCTGGTCCCCCACCTTCTGTCGGAATTCGTCGGCAAAAGATTGACGTAAGGTAAAATGACTTTTAGTCAATCGGCTATCTGTTACATGTTTATAAAGATAGCATAAATGTTCCTAAATCATACGGCAAATTTTCCAGAAACACCTGGCTTTTCCGGTAAAATCGTTTCTTATACTGTCAAGAAACACTTCTTAGAAAACAATTTGGTAACTAAAAAAATCAAAGATTTTTTTCTAATCATCTTGTTCTTGAAACAAAATCAAAAATATTTATGATGAGCAACAAGCACAAGAATTTATAAAATAAAATAATATCTTGAATCGAACTTTCTGTTTGCCTCATAATACCGGCTGAGGATAAGCCATACCTTTAGATTAAGATAGAGGAGTTGAAGAAACGTTTTTGTTGAAACCGGGTTTTCTGGGTGAGAGCTTAGTGTTTTCGAGGAGAAAAAAACTGCATGTTTTAGAAAACCTAGTAATCTTAAAACTTCTTTCAGAAGTTTTTCAATCATATCATTGGATAGTCAAAT